GTGGCTAGCTAACTGTTTACGAGATGCCACTAACGTCTGTTGCAGAGATCGAGAGGAAAATCAACAAGCATCTGAGGCGGTGGTTAGGAGTGCCGCCAAGCTTTACCGCGATAGGGCTATATACAAAGGCAGGGCAGATGCAGCTCCCGCTGTCGTCAGTGGAGGAGGAGTACAAAGTAGCCAAATGCAGAACTGTCATGCTGTATAGGGACTCTCACGACCAGAAAGTTAGAGATGCCGGAGTCACAACTAGAGCAGGTCGGAGGTTCAAAGCTGACTCACTGGTAGACCAAGCAGAGGGAATGCTGGTGCTGCGAGACATTATCGGAATTACCAACATCGGAAGACAGGGCTTAGGTTCCACCCACTTCCAACAGTGGGGAAAGGCAAACAGAGAGGAGAGAAGGTCTCTAGTTCAGGAGGAAGTTAGGAAGCTAGAGGAAGAAAAGCGGATAGCGAAGGCAACCCAGATGGCAACACAGGGTGCGTGGACAAAGTGGAACCTTCCCAGCAAGAAAATCTCATGGGCAGATCTGTGGAATCTCGAACCTTATCGCATATCCTTCATGCTAAGATCAGTCTACGACACCTTACCTTCACCATCCAACCTATACAGATGGGGGCTAAGAGAAGACCCAGCATGTAAACTCTGTGGGGAGAGAGGCACCATGGCCCATATACTGTCTTCATGCAAAACGGCTCTTGCCCAGGGTCGGTATCGCTGGCGCCACGACAAGGTGTTGACCGTGTTAGCATGCTCCCTAGAAGAAGCCAGGAAGAGAAAGAGACAGGGAAGCACGAGGCCGGGGTCAACAATCGACTTTGTAAGAGAGGGGGAGAGGAGAACGACCACAGGCAGATCTAGAGAAGTAGGCAACATTCTGGAGAAGGCGAAGACATGGGAGCTCAGAGTCGACTTGGGGAGGAAGTTGCAGTTCCCCAAAGTAGTTCAGACAAAGCTACGTCCAGACGCAGTGCTGTGGGCAGAAGCTGAGAAGAAGATAGTTCTCGTCGAGCTAACTGTCCCCTGGGAAGAAAGGTGTGAAGAGGCGTACGAGAGGAAGAAGAACAAGTATCAGGAGCTCATAGATGAGTGCAGAAGTAAAGGATGGCAGGCGTGGCTGTTTCCTGTAGAAGTGGGTTGCAGGGGCTTTCCGGCCCAGTCAGTATGGAAGCTGTTCACTGCCATAGGTGTGAAAGGGAAAGAGAGAAAGGTCGCAGTTCGCAAGCTGGGTGAGGCGGCAGAGAGGTCATCCTGCTGGTTATGGAGTAGAAGAGAAGAAAGTTGCTGGAAGCCTGGCGGAGAGGATGTGCAGTGAGTTGGCCGCCACTGCTGGACCCAACAACTCGAGGGCGTCACGGTTGAGGGTCGAAACGCCCAAGGAAGGTTGCACCGTCTGATGACATCCATCTCCTCAAGCAACACAGCACTACTCCACTACATAGGTGAGCGGAGTAGATCATGGCAGCACCCTTGCTGTATTCACCAACCTGATTCGTAGTGAATCTTTATGACGTCCATGGAATTAATTTTGTATTAATCAAAACACGGCTTTCTTTCTTGCAGGTCTTTTCACATCAATCGCAACTGTTGTGGTTGCTCCAAAGACGCTGGTTGGCTTGCGGTGGCCGACGGTGGTCCACTCGGAATATGCGAATGGGAGCAAGCTCCGAAAGATCAGCTGCCTTACATCCGCTTTTCTAAAACTACAGGCTACGCTAACTACAACGGTGCGTGCAGTACTAATCAATTAACCCTCAACAGTACACCTTCCCGGACTGATTAATCTGTACACCTGGGGTCCGCGCGGACCCCAGAACAGTTTTTTGCTAATTTTTAAAAATTATCAACATGCTACCAGCTCAATTGTTTTGCAAACTGATGTGGGAACCTCTGTGTCCACATTACATACAAAAATCATACATTTTGAACTTTTTCTATTTTTGGTGAAGAAAAGAAGACAAAAAGAAATACCCGATTTTTAAACCCATTTCAGACTGAAGGGGCTTTTGAGGCCCAACTTTGATCTCAGATAGCGGCTAAACGGCTTGCGCTAGAAGTATCAAATTTGGAGACCTTTCCTGAAATGTCTCTGGAAAAAAGTTTATATTAGTTAAATACTAGTAAGTTGATGTTTGTTGTGTTGCCATGGCAACGGGTTTCTAGCAGGCATTTTTTTTTGAAAAATAGAAGTAATTTTGGTTTAAACATAAAAATTTTCTGAGATTTATTTTAAATTACACTTCTTTTCCAACATTAATAACATCTTACATAATTGAATATAAGTTAAATCATTTAATATGCATAGAATATGCTAATTTGATGACGTCATTGGTCAAAATCCGATATGGCGGACTATATTATTAGCTCTGACGTCATATGACGTCATAATTACACCAAAGTTATTAAAATCTAATTCTATTTCTACACCGCGCGGACCCCAGGTGTACTGTTTAGGGTTAACCCCTATATATCTCCCTGTGCGGATGGGCCATGTCTAAGTTGACTTTCTTATCTAATAATTTTGTGTTTTGAGCTAGGGTCAACAGC